ATACTGGTTTATTCTTAGATCTCCAGATTTTAGCCAGATGGTTTTATTCTGTCTCCACCCTGTGACATGGGTAAATATTAATCCAGTTTCCAGAAGAGAGACTGGAACTTTGCTTAAATTAAATACCAGCCAACAGACAGGGTAAGTTTTTGGCAGGGCCAGGAGCTGAGCAGGGATCTTGTCTGTCCCAGTCTGTGCCATGTTCTCTAGGACATCACCCAGCTGTAAGTGCTTATGCTGCTGTCTCTGAAGCTACCAAGTAAAGTCTGGTAGTGACCAAAATGATGAAAATGTTGATTTTATAGATGGATGGATGGACAGATGGATAGATAGATAAATAGACAGACAGACAGAAAAATAGGTTTCCTGGCTTGAAGAATGCCTGTACGTAGGTGCCTTTCTCTTCAGTCAGAAGAGTTTTACATCTGTTTTTTCCTGCCTTCACTTTCATCTGACCTGTTATTGAAAGAGCAATGTGTGCAGCCTCCTCTAATGGGGCAGCCAGGAGAGCATGATAGCATGGTACAGGTGACTGCACTTCTTTTTCTGCAAAAAAGAAAGAATTTCAGTTTCTGTATACCCCTGTGTCAGGTTTAGGGACACATAGTCCCTCGATCATTGTGAACTTGGAAGTTCATTACTGAAGTGTTGAGTATTGCTGTCCTGAAACTGAGCCGTGGCCAAATTAAGAAGGTATATATTCAATAAGCCTTTGGTTTTAGAGTCCCTGCTGTGCTACAGGAACATGATGTACCAAGAAAAAATGTTGTGCTTCTTTAGTGTTTTTTTTTCTTAAAAAGGTGCAGGAGTTTCAGTTTCTTGCCTGAACTGTTCACCTTAAGAAATTTTCCAGCATTTGAAGTGGTGACAGATCCCCATGGCTTGTATTTGGGATTCTGATGCCTTCTGTCCAGAGATCCTGAGGAGCTATGTATTTATCAAGTTCAGCTTTTACAGCGCCTCTGTGAGATGAAATTATCATTGCTTGTCAGATGGGAAGACAGCAGTACGTAGTGTGACCTGCCTGAGATCACGCTGCAGACCTGTGTCGAGGGAGGAGTGGATTCCTTCCTCCCTTAACTTCAAAATCATCCTTTCATGAAAGTGAAGAATTTGCCTCGTTACACATCCCCAGGTGATGTTACACATCCTAATATGCTCCAGTAAGAAATGCTGTCTTAGCAAACAGTTTTCTCATAAGCAGCATGCTAACAGCTATCAGCTTGTTTTATTTTAGCGGTGGACAAATTCACTTTCGGGGCTGTGCTGTGACGGCTGAACTCATCCCTCCTGTAGCCTGTGCATCGTCTGAAGCCAGGCTCTGCACATGGGGCCGGCTGACATAATAAACAATTGCTCTGTATAGCTTTAGTAATGTGAGCATTAATATTGATCCAGCACTGACTTCTCTAACAACAGCCAAAAAAAAAAAAAAATACATATCTGTTATCTTGAGAAACCTCCCAAACAGCTCTAGTCTCCTTTCATTACAGGAGAGAGTTATTAGGGCAGATGGCTGAGATGATATCCATTTGACCTATAGATGCTAACTCAGGAGTCGGATCATTAATAAGGTGGCCAGAGATAGGGAGAGAGGGCAGTAAAGAGAGTTAAAAAGCAATCCTGTGCACAAAGGATTGCGCGTCGAGAAGTGCCGGGTGGTGAATGAGATGGACAGAGGTGAAAAAGTGGCCACAAGGTTTTAAATGCTCGTCACCAAGTCAAGCAGATTACGCTTAAAAGCTGATGTTTTCCCATATTTGGTTCCTGCTCCAGTGTGAATCCTTTGGGAGAAAAAAGAGCCTGTAGCTCTTGAACATAAAACAGAGATTTCACTTTCTCTAATTAACCCCTCCCCCCAAAAAAAAAGTGCTTTATTGTTTTCTGCCATGGCCACAGCTGCAGTGGCTCAGGTTTGAAAGCTGCTGCCTGGCAGAAAACCAGTCCTCACTGAGGATCAGACCATGGCCTTGTTCCAAGAGAAATTTGGATTTCATTTGACCATGATAGGATTCCAGATTGTCATCTGAGCATGTCTGAAAAGTGGTGAATGTGTGTCAGTAGTTAAGTGCTCATGAACTTCCTTAGTCCCTGGATTGTTCAGGACTGACCCAGGCAATTTTTTCCAGATGTTCTGGGGAATCCAAGTCCATATAAAAGGGATGGTAATGCTTCTGCTTCCTTACTAAGTTGTCTTTGTGGCTTGCAGGAATGTGCATGAAAGCTGGAGCCAAGACACCCCGATTTCTAGTCTCACCTCTACAAACTGCACTTTAACCTTTTCTGCCCTTCCCTGGCATCTCCACACAAGATCACAGAAACTTCGTGGGCCTGGTGCAAACTTTGCTTGGCCTTATTAAAAAAAAAATAAGCATTGCTCTTTTTTTGTTGTACAAAACTCCAGTCCCTGTTCTCCAAACCTCCTCTGAAATTGTTTTTTCACCTTTGATCCAGCAGCTGCTGGTATTCTGCAATCCTGAGTAGGTAAAACATGAGAAGCACCTTGGGATGGGAAGGAGTTACAAAAATATGAAATATTGCAGTGCACTTCCGTGAGACACAGTGTAACAGCGTGGCTGTTTAAGCAGACACCGGGCAGAAATCTTTATCAAATAAATGTTTCGGTTTTTCTAGTAAAGATAATTTTTTTTTACTGTTCATTGCAGTATTTTCTCTTCCACTTTACTGACTCTTTTTATCCCCGTGTTTTTTATATTAAAATGGTTTATGTTGCTGTCTCTAAGGTTTGCATGATCAAACCCTGTCTTTCACAATGTTTGAATTTGTCTACACTTTTCATCTTGTAGCTGAGGCAGAAGACTTCTCTAAATACCGATTTTAAAGTATGGTGTTTGTTTTAAATTTTAGTGCTCTTTAAAATTTTAAATGAAAACAAACTCTCGGTGGCAAACTAGGTTGAATGGGGTTGGGAAGGAATTGCTTGGTAGCAAGCAGTGCTGTCTAACATCTGATGAATGCTAATTCTTCATCCCCAAAACAGTTTTGAGGAGATGAAGGCAGCTGATTTCTGCAACAGCTTAAACAGAGGTTGAAATGACTCCCATGATCTGGAAGCAGGTTTTTTCCCCCATAGCAGGTGCAGGCTCGGTCCACAGTGATTTCTCAGTTATACTCTAACTTTGCAGTTTAAAAAATTTAATGTCAGTGCCCAGCCAGGCAAAACCTAACTCCCTAACATTTCTGTTTTTCACGGAAGGCTAAGACTTTATCCTCAGGCAAAGTCTCCTCTCTGGGCTGGCTGCTGTAAATCCTCTGGGCCCTGGCAAAAGCCAGAGTTGCTAGCTCATTTTACTTAATTTGTGATGCTGGCAAGATTTGTGCTGCAGCCCAGGGCTCTTGACTCAACTCTCCTAAATCAGAGCATTGACACATTACAGTAGAGAAACACCAGCACAGAAAACCTGAAAATAATGCCTTGGAAAGATATTTCAGAAAGATGCTGTCTTACAAAGCTTTAAATGGTGTTAATGTAACATTATAAGTTTCTCAGTGTTTGCTTCTTTAAAACCACCTGCTCATTAAGAAGTTGAGTTTTATTCACTGTCATAATCAATATTTTTTACTTTGTATTTCATGTGAGAATCCTAGGGCACTTGATATCTTTCTGCAGAAACCCTGCTAGACAAAATGTCATGAGGTTTTGCAGGTGCATAGAGACATGGGGTAAAGTGAAGCAAGGTTGTCTACACAGAAATGTTAACCGGCATAGGTGTAATGACGTAATTACAGCAAATATAAAGTGTCACGTTAACGCCAGTCTGCTCGTTCTTATTCCAGACTAAGAATCCTTTTTCCTGCTTGGATAATTCAATTTTTAAAGTGAGAAAGTGTATCCAAGAGGATAAAGTGCTTGGCTGTGGTTGGGGAGATCAGAGGTTCTCTTCTTAAACCTGCCGTGGATTTGCTGGGAAATTCCAACGAGTTTTCTCCTTTCTCCGCACCATAAAGTCACATGTGTAAGACTGAAGATGGTGTTATATGTAGGAAAAAAAAAAATCTCTATTAAACAAAAATACCGAGCAATCGCACTGGCCTGAAACAGTTGGTGCCTGATGTCTACACTGTGCATGTTGCAGGTTTATCTTATTTTCAGAAGCTTTTTTTCTGGTCTTATAGCTTGAATGCCCACTTTGAAACTGGAACATCTTAGGTGTATTCCTCTAACAACTTATCTTTCATTTTGGTTTCACTACAGCAAGAAGCCAGCATATGCACTCCAGGATTGCTCCATGATGCAAACAAAACAACAGTACAGAGGGATGAAGGGAAGATGCATTTCAAAAGCATGCTCCTGATCCAAACCAACATGCACACAGGCAGTGCTGGGGTGTTCCCATATTATCATAACAGATAACGTCCATCTGCAGCAAGCTCTTAAGATGATATCAGAGACAGAACGGGGCAGGTTGAATGGGGCTTAGTCCTCTGCATTAACCTTCAGACAGTGCTGCTTCAGGAAAAACAAACCAGGTTTAGGAAGACATTTTCCTAGTGGTTAATCTGCAGTCAAAATTGTACGATATATAAGCAAGGCAGCTAATTCCAGTGAACTTTACTTTGATGTATGCTTCACAGTCCACTTTGATACAGCAAAAAATGGTTCAACCTCTCTCCCTTCATTTAAAATGAATGAAGCTGGTTTGTGTTATTGTAATCCCAACAACTGCAGTGAGACGTTTTAGGTAGAACTGACACTTTGGACCTGCTCCACAAGGTAGACAATCATTGGTGATCTCTACCCTCATATCCTTTGCTCATGGGTTTGACGTTACACTGTGATGAGGGTACCTGTCAGTTGTGATGGTGGCTGATGCAAAACGGAGGAGATGCCGCACGTTCCCTCCAAGTAGACCAGTAAGCTGTTAGGTGGCCGTTTATCTCATATGGGCTCAGATGCATATTAACATTTGATCTGATGTTTGTTTGTTTCTGTAAAACACAGTTATCCTAACGCTTTTTAAAAATGTTCTTTGTTACAGAAGAGGAAGAGGAACAAGTACCTACCGATGGAGGTACATCTGCAGAGGCCATGCAGGTGCCACTGGAAGAAGAAGGAGATATGGAAGAGGATGAGGCAATTAATGATGAGAACTACTTGAGCAAGAGACCGTTAGAAAGTCCTGATGCTGAGGAATTTCCACCTGTGAAACGGCCAAAACTGTCTGTTTCCAAAGGGGACTCCTTGGATGGAGCTTTGGAACCACGTGAGCCTCTTAGTTCAATCAATACTCAAAAAGTACCACCAATGCTTTCTCCAGTTCATGTTCAGGACAGTACAGACTTAGCCCCTCCTTCACCAGAACCACCAATGTTGGCTCCCATTGCAAAATCACAAGTCCCAACCCCCAAAACTGTAGAGGCAAAGCCGTTTGTACCCAAAACAAAGTCCAAAACAAGTTCTCCAGGACAGAAGACAAAATCACCTAAAACTACGCCCTCACCAGTGGTAACTGGAAGTCCCATACGTTCACCAAAAACTGGATCCAAAGAGAAAAAGTCACCAGGTCGCGCCAAGAGCCCAAAAAGTCCTAAAAGTCCAAAGGTTCCTGCTCATGTTCCCCAACCACCTGTCAAGCCTGAAACACCAAGTAGAACCCCTCTGGCTGCGTTAAGTGACAAGATCGGAAAAGAAAACATCCAAGTAAAACAAGGACAGACACCACCTGAGCTTGCCACCAAGCCAAATATTGAAAACCAGACTAAGAAAGTACCAGTAATGGACAAGACCATTGATGATTCAATCGATGCTGTGATTGCTCGTGCATGTGCAGAACGAGAACCAGATCCCTTTGAGTTTTCCTCTGGTTCTGAATCAGAAGGGGAAATTTTTACCAGTCCTAAAAGACTTTCTGTTTCAGAGACTACAACTCCTAAACCTTCCGTTTCTGCCAATAATGCAAATAAGGCAGGAGCAACTCCAATACCTCCCTCGGGTGGGACTTCAAGTTCAGACATTTCATGGACAATGGATGACTCAATCGATGAGGTCATTCGAAAGGCAAACATGGGGACACCTTCTAATCCACCTACAAACTTCACTTATTTCTCCTCTCCTTCTGCTTCACCACCAACTCCAGAACCTCTTCTCAAAGTTTATGAGGAGAAAACCAAGTTGGCTTCATCAGTAGAAGTCAAAAAGAAATTGAAAAAAGAGCTGAAGACAAAAATGAAGAAGAAAGAAAAACAAAAAGAAAAAGATAAAGAGAAAAACAAGGAGAAAAATAAGGAGAAGGAAAAGAATAAGGAGAAGGATAAAGACAAGGAAGGAAACAAGGAAGCAAAGTTTCAGTGGAAAGAACTACTCAAAGATGATGATCTTGATCCCTATAAATTCAAACTAAAAGACTTTGAGGATGCTGACACAAAAGTAAAGTTGAAAGATGGCAATACCAAAAAAGAGAGAGAAAAACATAAAGATAAAAAGAAAGAGAAAGAGAAAGGCAAAAAAGACAAGGATAAGAAAGACAAAGAGAAACTTAAAGATAAGGGTAAGGAAGATAAGATAAAGGCTCCATCAGCACCTCATGTGTTACCTTCCAAAGAAATGTCTTTGCCCTTGTTCAGCACACCAACTGCTATGAGGCTTCCCAGCATGTTACCTTCCTTGTCTCCAATGCTTCCTGAAAAACTATTTGAGGACAAAGAGAAACCAAAAGAAAAGAAAAAAGACAAAAAAGAGAAGAAGAAAAAGAAAGAAAGGGAGAAGGATAAAGAAAAGGAAAAGAAGGAGAAGGAAAAGGAGAGGAAAGAAAGAGAAAAGAAAGAGAAAGAAAAAGAGAAACACAAACATGAAAAGGTAAGCTGTTTAGATGAGTTGAGATGGCGTACTTGCTTGAAAAATGCATGTGGATTCCCATATTTGCTGCTGAGCATTGTTTGAGAGGTTTGAGGAGCTGTGTGATTACAAGTTTGGTATTTCTTAAAAATAACAGCTCTGCTGGAAGTTTCAGGTATTGTCCCATCCCTTGGAAGACAAAACAATGGAAGTTCGGTTCTGTGACTTTGAAATGTGAGGTTGTCCTTCTGGTTTTCCTCAACTCACTCTTCACTTTGAAAAGCTGGGGCTCAGACTCAACAACAGCACACACACACCAAATGTATGTAGTGTTGCAGTGCACAAATTTTGTTCTGTAGTTTTGCACTAGTAGGGCCAGCAACTGTATACCTTCCATATAAATTTTACATCTAGTTTCTAAAAGTCTACTGTTTCAAAGCTTGCAGAAGCCTGTAAATTACGAGGTGGACAGAAATGAGGAGCAGGCTGCCTTCAAATAAACAAGTTCACCAGTTACCTCCAATGCTCAGAAGAGCTGCTGAATCCTCTCTTATCAAGACCGCCCCCTTATTGTTCCAATTTGTTTGAAGAAAATTGTTTTCAAATTATGGTCTAAATGTTCAAATGTCACCTTTCATTTTGAGTATTATGCTTGAGAGAGAGAAAGGGAGAGATAGTTTTCATGTGGGCTGAAGTCCTTCCACTTCTGTAACTCTTACTGATTTACATCAGCTGAAGATAATTTCTTCTTTCCAATATCGCCTAATCTTGAGAATATATTTAATATTTAAGAAATGAAACCAGCATATTTGCATGTTATCAGATTTGAAATCCCATTAGAAACAGCTCCCCTAAATCAGGGTTTGAGCTAATTTTTTGTCATTTCACCTTATTATACACATTAAATTGTTAATATATAAAAAAAAAAAAAAAAAAGGAGAAAAAAAGAAGAAAAGAAGAGATAGCCTTCATATGTGATAACCTTGGATACAGGATTTCCTAAATCCCTCTCCTTAGCATTAGAAAGCACTATGTAAGTTCTGGTTTTACCAAGATGTTCTTTACATCCTGCTTTGAGTGTAATACTCAGTTTGTACAAGTTCAGATTTTCAGATTTAGCACATTCCTCACTTTCCTTATTTGCCACTGTACCCTGTTGTGCTACCTGCTGGACTTGAAACAAACTGCTGATTTCAAAATATGACATATTTTTTAAGTTCACAAGTGGTTTTTCAGTGCAGAATCTGGGTGATCTGGAGAACTAACATATGTCTGCTGTGGATGAGTCGGTGATTGACAGGGTGGTGGTCCAGTTGTCTGTGTTAATTTAATGTCCAGGTTTTAGACTGCAGCAACACTTTCACAGATTCCCCATTTTGTCTGCTCTTCATGCCTGAGATGTTTTGTCAGTGTTTCATTGAGAATTTCTGCAGAGATTTAAGTTAAATACACATGTATATAAAATAGAGAAGAGTTGCTTGTTTTTCCTACATTCGATTTTGCATTTCTTCTGCAAATCTCTACATCTAGTTTGCTTCAGAGCAATATAACAGATACACAAATACAAACTGCTAAAGCTTCAGGATAGACTGAACATACATATATATAAATATATATATATATAAATATTAGGAAAAGGAATTCAACAGTAATAAAAACTTGGACAAATTAAATTGACAAAGCTGCCCATTACCTTGGCAAAAAGTCCCTGTCAAAAGATAAACTTTAAAGCTAGAATGCATGAAAGAGTCCCCAGATAGAATTAAAATTTAAACTGATTCTTGATAGATAAGCTTTTTTTAAATCCACCTCTTTGCTGCAAGTCAGGATTTTAAAAATAAATTTCCCCTTTAAATCTCTTGAGCGATTTTCATTTTTTGCAAGGCCGCACTGCTGGTGTCCTGGAAAAATGGAGAGTTAGAGCTTTATCAGTTGGTGCCCTGAGGTATGTGGCAAAGAAGCTAAATCCTTGAAGATTAGCAAAAAAAATGCAGCACATGGCAATAAGGGGCTTATATGACTACTAGTATTAGTTCAGGTGAAAGAAGTATTGCTTATACATAAAACTGGACAAATCCACTGACAATGTATTTTTAGTTAGCTACAAAGGAGTCTTATATTGCTGGACTTTACCTCTTTGGTGATTTGGGAAGCTTAGTAATCCACTGTAAATGCTCTTCTCCTGGCCCCAATTCCCAGTATTACTCCAGAATGCTGCTCTTTCGTTTTAACCCCTAAAAGTACGCATTTCCTTAATTTAGCTTTTAGATCACACAAGACTTATTTAGCCAGCAGTTGTGCTGTAAGAGCAAATGATCGAGTCACTGCTCGGATGCTTAACCTTCCACGGCGCGTCCACCTCGGAGGCGTAGGTGCAACCTGAAAGATGAGTGTGTGGGCTAGCTGCAGTTTCAGCTCTTCATGGTCAGTAGAAAATACCAGATTTCTATTTCTAATATCCCTATACACAAACAAAAGAGCCACTCAGTGGTAATGTTTCCAATTTTGAGTATTGTTATAGTTCCTACCTAAGTGTGCATCCCATCCTGTTGAGGAAGTAAAGCTTTTTTATCAAGTTTTCCCTGTAATTTTGCCCTGAGCTGTTGGAAGACACAGAACAGCAACCAGTACTCTGCATAAATGGCAGAAAGCAGAAGCTGAAGGCTGCATGCTGGAAGTGTTCGGTGGTGGCACCGAGGAAGAAGAGCTTTTTCACAGGGCTTGCCTGCAGTACTGTGCTCCACAGTAAGTGTTGGGGTGCTGCCCTTGGAACCAGAGAAGGAGACAGTGAGCTGGGGCACTGCCTTGCATGCACTATCAAATTAAAAGGAAACAGTTGAAGCAGTTACACCCCACTTCTACTGTGGAGATTACTGGGCGTGCTGTAGGAGGGACTGAGCAGCTCACGAAGCAGCTGCTGACCCAGTTTCAGCTAACCTTAATACGCTGATCTATAAACTGAAGTAATTGAGGAACTGCTTTCATGAGAAATGGAGCCATCCTTGCATCGGGGCAGGGCTGGCCAGAGCTGCTCCGAAGTAAACTGCCTTTATTTGTAAATCAAAATCCTGTTGTCAATGTAGAGGAAGACCAGGATATCCAGGATATAACTGAATGCTTCTTAGTTTTCCCTCTGCTTCAGACATGCAAACCCTACACACAAACCCATGTTGTAAAAAGATGCTTCCTCTCCTCATGTATCAAAGGAGTAAGGTTTAGGATTGTTGTGGAGCCCAGTTTTCCTCTCACATCACCTGCAATGTTGGTATCTGAGCATAAAGAAGTGTTTTATGTGCTTTTCTTCTGCCACATGAGCCCACTGCACCATTGTTTAGAACGTCTTGGTGGTGTACAAATAATAATACAAAGGACCTTTATCCAAAGGACAGGTGTGGTGTGCTGTGCTGTGTCCTGGAAGCTAAGCAGCAGTGCTTGTCCTATAAAGTTTTGTATTTGAAGTAGGCACTACAGAGGAGGAGAAACCTGCAGCAAAAGAGGTAAGAGAGTCTGTGCAGAGTCACGTGCCTGAGCCTCCTGTATCCAGGGTTCATTTCCATGTCTCTGTCCAGTGGATGAAGCTACAGGTTAAGATGCTGGGATAGCAGTAAAAGATTTACCTATGGAAAGTGGCAGTGAAATTGTTGCAGGCATTAGGAGCTCCAGAGATAAAAAGCTCTTGCAACACTCCAGGGTAATGACATACCAAAAAATCATGCTACATAAACAAAAGCATAGAGGCATGTGATTTAGGCTAATACATATCCACAGAGAGCTTTATTGAAAAGCACAGTTAACTGTGTCAAAACAGAAGTACTACTCAGGCTGCAGCCCTTCTCTCTCTGGAGTAGACATCTCCTAATGAGCAGCTTTGATTCTTTGGTCAAGGTGCATGGCACATGACTTTGTCATTACCATTCCTCAGTGTAAGTCCTAATTGAGTCCTCCCACTCTGGCCTGCTGTCTCCTGCACTGTTTTCTGTGCTTTGAATTGATTGTCCTTTCTTTCTTTATGAAAGCTTTTTAAAATTAATTTCTCCCACTGAGGGTTGCTCAGGTTTGCATTTAGTGTGTGCATACTATTTTTGGCTCTCCTAAGTTCCTGGACCAGATTCAGCTAAGTGGTTATTTTATTAAATATGATGACGCACATGCTCAAAATGAAACCAGTCTCCCTCTCTTTATATATATATATATATATATATACACACACACATATATAATGTATATACATTTCTCATATATATGGATATAAGTTGAGCAACTTACATACAGAGAATCATTACAGTGTCAACTGTAAAATTTGAGGTGATTCTGTACAGGTTTTGCAAAGCAGTAGCTCAATGAGAGTTGGTACTTTTGGCAGATAATAGTTCAAAGACTTAAGGACATACTCAAGTCATCTAAACTCCACCAGACACTGAGGTTGGAAACCAGGCCATTTGAAAAATAGCCATTAGAAACCTCAGCCTAATTGCCTTAAAAAGCTCAGAGAAGAGTGTTGGTGCTTGGGGTTTATTTACTTCCTCTGGATCTAACTTTGATTCAGGAGGGTCACAGTACATTTATACGATGAACCTGGGAAGTAATTTAAATCTCAAAAAAAAGTGCAAACACCAGTGGGCACCTATCAAGTTTGAGTACTGAGATCAAAGCATTTCATGTCATTGTTTAGAAGCGTACTGAGGTTTTTTGTGTTCTTAGAAAAATACTAAATCAGGAAGATTTGTTAACAAAGTGTATGAGAAATGCAATGAAGTTTCTAGTTTCTAGTTGTTTTTTTAGTCTACAATTCATGTTTGTGATTTGCTATGGCTGGGAGCTCCCAACAAACTCTGACCATCCATGCCACACCATGAAGCGTGAGAGAGCAGTGATCCGTCTGTCATAGGTTTGTCTCATTAAGCCAGTGTACTCTGTTTGGTTAACTCCATTAATGCTTTCATGTAATTAATATATTTTGGGAGTCTGCTTTCAGTCTTTGATTGATGATTGTGTTCCCTTGTGCAGATAAAGGTGGAACCAGTTGCTCCGGCTCCATCACCGGTTATTCCTCGGCTGACATTAAGAGTGGGTGCAGGCCAAGACAAGATGTAAGTACAAATAAATCTCTCTGCAAGGTGTATGCTTACCACAGCTCATCCTCTGTCACTTGTGGTAGCTCTTATTTTCAGTGGGAAACACTTAAAAATTAGTAGCAAATGACTTATATACAGCTCTGACATCTTTTGACCGTTCTAATGAAAACTCAAGCACAACGCTTACCAATAGAAACATTTTGGACGTTTTGGCCTTTCTCTTCTGCTCTCCAAGTGGCACCCATCATCTTCTGTCCATTCTACAGCGTTTCTTCCACCATGCCTTTTGAGGGCATGGATTACAAAACTCTATCTAGACTCGTATGATGCCTCCGGTGATACTTAGTGAGGTTTCCGTAATGGACGGTTATCCTTGGTGTAACCTACAGCTAAGTTTCATAACGCTCTTCAACTAACAGTTTTTTATGCTTTAAAACATAACAGTTGAAATTCCTTTATACGCGTCTGTTTTATTGTAACTGTTGATGTTTATTCATGAGTTTACCTAACGCATTTCAAATGTTGGTTCATTAGCTCCCTAATTATTGGGTGCTGTTGTACAAATAGTAGTTACTTTGTACTGTGTAAGTGTAAATAGGATGATCCCTATCCTGAGATCATACAGCATAAACAGGTGACTGGAGAGGCTGTGGAAACCATGCGTCACTGGGCTTTTTAGGCTGGTCCTGTACTGTATGTGAAGGGTTTCTTTTAATCAGGTTTTTCATGTTTTTAATGGCGTAGAGCACACTTTCAGTGTCTGATGGTAAATATGAGCACCAAACAGATTTTTTCTTTCCATTCATCACATTAAATATTGCTAATGTAGTTGTTTCTCTTTTGTAGCCATTCTGCACTGAATCACCTAATCTCTACTTTTTCTGCTTGATAAGTTAAATGGCATCTTTGATGATTATTCTGTTTTTTCTGTGCTGTCCTACCCCTTCTCAGTAGGTAACTGAGTTTTACTAGTTTGAAGTAGCTATGGGACTTCAGTCATTTCTTGGTTTCTTTGGGACATGCTCCACCCGAAGTATTGGGGGTTTTTCCTGCTCTTCAGCCATTTCTGCTTTCTTCCTTTCGTAATATTTGAGTGTGATCTAAAATCTCTGTGCCTCAGATTGTCTGTCCTGATGTGCAGATTTGAATGTGCACGGGTGGACAGACTGTCCCTTTAAAGCCCACAAGTCTATTTTCCTCCTTGAGGAGCTATGGATACTTTTAAACTCCTCTTTCTCAAGGACAGTACAGGTTTTTATATGGAGAAAATTAAGTCATATTTTCAAAACAGAACTTCTGAATCAAAGTTCTGAAGCCACATTTTAGCACCAAAGAGCTGACTTGGCTTCCCATCTTATCTCACCGCCATCTTTCTCATACCCTCACACATTTTGAGGAGGTACTTCAGACTCCATCTGCTTGCTACAAATCACATGGGTGCATCATTACTTACCAGCAGTACGAGTACATTTTACACTTACCGGTGTCAGAAAGACATGGACCTGCTCAAGTGAGTGCGGAGGAGGCCGTTAAGATGATCAGGGACTGGAGCAGCTCCCCTGGGAGGCCGGGCTGAGAGAGTTGGGGGGGTTCAGCCTGGAGAAGAGAAGGCTCCAGGGAGACCTTCGAGCAGCCTCCCAGGGCTTAAAGGGGGGACAGGGGAGGTGGGGAGGGACTCTTTATCGGGGGGTGTAGGGAGAGGATGAAGGGTAATGAGTTTAAGCTGAGAGTGGATTTAGATTAGGTATAAGGAAGAAATTCTTCCCTGTGCGGGGGGTGAGGCGCTGGCCCAGGGTGCCCAGAGCAGCTGTGGCTGCCCCCTCCCTGGAAGGGTTCCAGGCCAGGTTGGACGGGGCTGGGAGCCCCCTGGGCTGGGGGAAGGGGGCCCTGCCCAGGGCAGGGGGGTTGGAACTGGGTGGGCTTTAAGGTCCCTTCCAACCCAAACCATTCTGTGATTCTGCCATCATCAGCAGCCCTGCCAGTCCGTAGTGGGTGGGAGATACTGACATCTTGTTTCATGGCCTTTTGGGAAACCCACTTCTATCCCAGTTTCCTTTCTAAATCTTTAGTGGCACCTTGGCCTCCAACTGAGGGCCTCAGTTGTTGTGATCCTTAGCACGGCAAAGCCTAGAGTTTAAACCCCAACTCCAGGATGGGAGATACACAAAGCTGACTTAGTTCAAAGTTTCTAAATAAATTACAGGAGAATTAAGCACCAAGGCTGACATCTTCAGGGTTGGGAGAGTCCTGGAAGCAGCTGGTAGGAAATGTGAAAAAGCGGTTGTCCTGCAACTCTCTGCAGCGTCTATACTGGGCCTAGGAGGGGAACTTCATCTTCTCCACATAACACTCATTCTTGAGATTACTTTAGGATACATAACCAAACAAGGTTTGAGTCATTAGCATTCCATCTCTATTTGCTTACTGGTTTCCTTTTTCTACCTTAAATATCTCCTCACCGCCCACCATACTGGCACTCTAAAGTTGTCCTGGTGTAATGACTGTATCACTCAGTTGCACCTTCTGGCTGATGGCAAAAAAGAACTTATTGAGGTTTTTAATTGCTTTTAGGATTTGTCAAAGTTTTCCAAGGGAAAATACAGGAAGAAATTTTTCGTTACACAAGTAAACACAGTTTGCGCCACGTGGCTCTGGAAACTGTTGTGTTGTGTGTTGGTCTAATGTGGCAGGGCTCACAGTGGAGCTGTCCTACTCTAAATACTTTTGCTTTCCTCCTCAACAATTAATATTCAGCTTGAACTCAGGGCATATTTTAATTTTCACATGTTGTGATCATTATGAAAAGGACTGGTGTGGCTCTGAGGCAAAGCATTACATAGCTCTGTGTGTGGCTTGGACCTCTGAAGTCTGTGACCTCAATTTAAAGTTATTAGTTGAAAAGACTACAGTAGGATCATCGATCTTTTGAGTAGCTCATAATAGGGAGAAACAGAAGTTTTTGTGGTGTGTTATGGTAAGGGAAGGTTAAACTTATGTTTCATCTCCGTTGGTAATGAAGTTCTGAATAACTGGTAATTATCATAGAGAATTGCTGTGTTTCAATTAGCATGTCTTTGGAGTTTACTAGCATGGGATTGTTTGAGAATACCGTAAGTCACCATTGTGGTGGGTTGACCTCGGCTGGATGCCAGGTGCCCACCAAAGCTGCTCTATCACTCCCCTCCTCAGATGGACGGGAGAGAGGGAATATAACAAAAGGCTCGTGGGTCAAGATAAGAACAGGGAGATCACTCAGCAATTCACTCATAATGGGCAAAACAGACTTGACTTGGGGAAACTAGTTTGACTTACTACCATTCAAACCAGAGTAGGATAATGAGAAATAAACCCAAATCTTAAAACACCTGCCCCCCATCCCTCCCTTCTTCCTGGGCTCAACTTTACTCCTGATTTCTCTACCTCCTCCCCACCAGTGGCTCAGGGGGACAGGGAATGGGGGGTTGTGGTCAGTTCATCACACATTGTCTCTACTGCTCCTTCCTCCTCAGGGGGAGGACTCCTCACTCTTACCCTGCTTCAGTGTGGGGTCCCTCTTGCGGGAGACAGTCCTCCATCAAATTCTCCAATGTGAGTACTGCCCACAGGCTGCAGCTCTTCACAGACTGCTCCAGCGTGGGTCCCTTCCACAGGGCGCAGTCCTTCAGGAGCAGACTGCTCCAGCGTGGCTTCCCCACGGGGTCACAAGTCCTGTCAGCAAACCAGCAAACCGTCCTCCCTCTTTCCACAAGTCCACAGGTCCTTCCAGGAGCCTGCTCCAGCGGGGGCTTCCCACAGGGTCACAGCATCCTTCAGGCATCCCCCCTGCTCCAGCGTGGGGTCCTCCCTGGGCTGGAGGTGGACTTCTGTTCCACCATGGACCTCCCTGGGTTCAGGGCACAGCCTGCCTCGCCATGGTCTTCACCATGGGCTGCAGGGGAATCTCTGCTCCAGCTCCTGGAGCACCTTCTCCCCCTCCTCCTTCGCTGACCTTGGTGTCTGGAGTTGTTTCTCTCACCTATTCTCACTCCTCTTTCGAGCTGCAATTGCTCAGATTTTCTTTTTCCCCTTCCTAAATATATTATCACAGAGGTGCCACCACCACCACAGATTGGCCTGGCCTTGGCCAGCAGCAGGTCCACCTTGGAGCCGTCTGGCATTGGCTTCATCAGATATGGGGGAATCTTCTAGCAGCTTCTCACAGAAGCCACTCCTGTAGCCCCCCACTACCAAAACTTTGCCACGCAAACCCAATACAGCCATAGAAAGGTATGAGAGAAGTTTTTGGGGATTCACAGAATTTGATGAGTAAAAACTAGATGGAGTAATGAGTTATTTCAGTTTCCTCTGTTAGAGAGAAGAGCTGTTTGGAGGCTTTTGGAAGTACTTTTAAGTACTTGTTCATCTGGAGGTTGGTTCATTTGGGGGAACTTCACATAAAACATTGTCTTCAATGGCAGTACTTACAGATCATGGTGAGGCCATGGAGTCTTTCAGGTGTCTGAAGTGTCAGATTTATAGTGCTTGAAATGGAGATTCACATCACACCATAAACACAGCACAGTAACAGCAACACAAGTTTACTCAAATAATGCAGCAATGGTGAGGAAAATGCCTTTGCAGTGTGGCGAACAGTTTATTCTCTGTCATTTTACTTCTTGGCTCCTCTGCTTGGATCAACATAAAAAGCAGTGATGGTAATGGCAGAGAAGTCTCCTTTCTTGTTTCTGTGAATACGATTCCATATTGCTTCTAGATTCAAAGAGATATCTGCATTCGAGCTTGTCTGGTGTTCAAATATTCTTACAACACACATCAGTTCAAAAGAGATGGCTATTAATAACATCAGGTTAATAGACATGAAAATGTACCGTTGCTGAAGGATGAATAAACCGATATTGGAAAAACTGTTCTACTTCAGGGTTTTTTGCAAGTGTTTTAACTGCACAGTAAAACAAGAAGAAAGTAGATTATAATCAAAGCATTTCCATCTTAGTTGTAAACAATTACAGCAATAC